CGTACTAACACTTCCTTCCATACCAGTGAGATTTCCAACAGAAAAATCAGTCGTGCACAAAGCTTCCGAACTCTTACCTTGCTGATTGTCTCGTCATACACGATACGGACCACCAAACGCTGCCTCACGTGAACATTAAACCGTAATGAAATAGAACGGGAAATTATCTGCCTAAGTCTGCACCGCGTTCTTTTTTCACTAAAAGTTCATACTGCAGTAAATGCCAACACTGAATATTCAAAAGACCATGCGCAGAGCCGCAATCTCACAGGAGGGTTGCTCAAAAGATTAATTAATGCGGGTTTTAACGCCAAAGATTTGCTCAGGAAGGGGACAACAGATTCGAAGACCAACGTAGTACCATCAGTGATCCAACCCCGGGAGTGCCGAAGTAGCTATCGACCGTGTTCACATGACACCAGAGACCCACCGTACGAGCGCCTAAGCACCTTCCACTTATCTATCAATAATGGACCACCCCGACATACTACCGCACAACGATGAATTGACAACTCACGACATTTTTCAAGGATTGAGAACAGGCTAGACGAGCAAACACCGATACTGGAAGAGAAAACGAGTAATGATCCCTTACTCGTCCGACAAAACTTCGTCACCTCACAACTTCGCTTGGCTTTACGCAACCTTTCACGCAGCCCCGGGCGTTGACGTCGTGCACGACGTTTCATATCCCTCACATTTAACGACGGGGAAAATAATCGAATAAAGAATTTCTCACAAGACTCACGATTAGCTTCAGAACAAACACAAACCGGAACTGCAAAATAATACTGGGAACCATGCCTTCGTAGCCACCGATACAGACATTCATTCCGTTGCCCTTTACTGACGAGTTCCTTGCTACATGCACGATAAACATGTTCACTCTAACGCGTATGCAAATCTCTAGACGTGCTACCAACATACATATGTCGACACCATGGGGACACCAAGACATAGACCACTGGACCTTTCTGCAACAAAAAATCATAACCATCGTTCAACAATTTAACCACAAAACCACACAGCTTACCGCCCCACGGAATATGACCTAGATTAATCAATAATACTATCAAGAAGCACGCCACAACATTAAGTGGTTTAACCCGAAGGAACTGACTAGCATATAATCGCAGATCAACACATGCTTTTAGAAGATTCCAAACCGACGTCGCATTCGGGAGCAAACCTACGAAGTGCCCGAGTCGCTGTTGTCCTCCGCACAATCATTTTTGGTCGGCTCAGTGTTATCCGTGACGTCGTGTATAACGACACCACCTCCGGGCTTCCCGAAAGCAGCATCAGCACGCTTATGCGCGATCTCCTCCTTTGCCTTATCCAACGTTGTATAAGTGACGCCTTCATCAGCACAATATAACTAGGATTTCTTCTTTCTTCTTCGGTTTCAAGAATCGCCGCTGCTCGATCAAAAACGCATCTCGTTTGTTCACCGCCGTACCCTTCGTCTTCGGTGTCATCGGTCGTTTCCCTTTGTCCAACGTAGCCGCCACAGCTCCATCCAATCTCGTTTTTAGGTTAGAAGCAATCGGAGTGACTGTCTTCTTTTCCATCTCAAAAAGAGTCAGCTTATCCCTCAGCCTATCAACCTCCTGCTCCGCTTCGCGCCTTCCATTCAGTTCTCGGTGTCTCCATTCTTTTAGTCGTTCAATCTCCTGCTCTTGTTGCTCCTGATTCGCCATCATCTCCTGGACCTTCTGCCTGTCGATAGCTGTTGGCCGAGGTTGGAGACTTATTGGCTCTCTCTCTCTCTCTCACACACACACACACACACACACACACATTTCATCGATAGGATGAGCAAAAACAGAATGAATCTTCCGCTGAAATGTGGAAATATACACTGCTATTTTTTTAGCAATCGGAATGAATCGTCCGTGTGTGTGTGTGTGTGTGTGTGTGTGTGTGTGTGTGTGTGTG